CTGCTGGGACTCCCAGCAGCTTCTACTGAAGCCTTCAGAGTAAATCGCCAGAACGTCGACACCTGCTCATCTCCACCGCTCCCATGTTTGTTTTTGTGTTGCCATAAGTTATTCTCTCTCCGTTGGTGCGCGGCGATAATGCTAATGCTAATAATGCTAATGCCAGCAAATACAATGGTGGGGCGTGGTTTGCAATTCGCCCAGCCAATAGAAATTGATACTTTTTTCTCCCCAGGAGAGTACCTCCTCTCCAGCAGGCACTAAATATGGGGGTAAAAGTTCCCGGCACTAAGTACTCTTTTTGGTGTGAACGCAAAATAAGAGGTACTAACGGAACTAAACGGGAAAGGTACGGGGAAAAGTACTCCGGTGTGAGCGCGCCTATTAAGCGAGGAGAGGTGGCCAAACAGAGGTACTACAACTTAAATGTCAGTCCGTGACGTCATTGGGCCCAAAAGTATATATTTTGTTTTGCTTCGTCAACTACCCACGAGCACTTTTATAGTCCTTACTTCAATAAAAGTTATACAATGTGCCAAAAGCTTAGTCCAGAGTTATTTATCCAGTTCTCTTAATACATCCAGGACAGAGACCATGAGTCGGTAAAGTACAATTAGAAAAAAAAGCTACACCAGTCTGGAAAATTCTGAAAATTACATAATTTTACAGTAATGCAGTCTCTCAAACCAGGAAAAGCAAATGTGATATACAAAATGTTAAACATTACCTAGTCTCATCTATCAATATATTGTTCAGCGTTTTCCATGCTGTGTACTTTATCTAAAGCTACTTTTACCCAACATTGATGTTGATCTACATCCAATAAAATGTTCCGACCCTGATCAGCAGGGAGGTTGCACCATTACTTGCCTACTGTGGAGAGGGAGGGGAGGAAGTAGATAAAACAGGAATTTAATCTCCTCTTAGAGCCTGGTGAGTCATCTGAACAAGAGTGTTTGTTGTTTCGGTTTTTTCCTGAGAGAGACGGCGAATCCACTGGGAGAGAGAAAAGCCCACTCTGACCTTTTACTAAAAAGCCATGCCTTTTTGCTTTTTCCTCTGGCGCACTCACTCAGAAAATAAATACCCAACTCAAGGAGGACAAAAGAATAAATAGCACTCCTACTGTTGTGACAGGTTGTAAGTTTTGTCTTTGCTGGTGCATATTAGACAGGATGGAAAAACATCAAAGCTCTTATTTAGACAGGGTGCATCAAAAATACACTTAAATCCTAGTCCAGAAAAACATCTAAAGGTAAGAGTGAACAGACAAAGGCCAATGTACCCAGGACTGAAATTAAGTCTGTCGATTGATGCTCCTAAGTGACTGAACAATGCCTTATCACAGAGCACTGTCATCCATCTAATGCTTGGATGCGAGGAGACATGCAAAGGATGTGATTACCAGAAATCTCTCTGTGTCCTGTTTAGCACTCTTGGCACTGTGTATGAGCACCCATCTGTTAAGCTTGATTACAAGGAAAATGCCTTAGCACTGCACAAAGAGAGAGACGGGGTTTGATTAAGACCACACGAGTCAACCTCTGCTCTTGACCCAGGTTTCAGGAAGGTGTCTTATCAGCAGCAGGAAGGACAGCTACCGTGATCTATGGCTTTGTTCGCTCAATGTATCAATTAAATGAAAGGCCACAGACTCTCTCTCAGCCTTTTGTGTCCCGCTCCCCTCTGCAGTCCTTTTCAAACTGCATCTAGCTCAGCACACAATGTAGAAATGTATTTATGTCAGAGTCACTGCAGTTCATTAGATCCCAGATTAGACGGGGTTTAAAAACACATTTTAAATTACGCTTATGACCATAATATTTTAAAGGGCCCCTAATATGTCCATTTACAGGTTCATAATTGTATTTAGTGTCTCTACTGGGACATGTCTCAATGCTTTAATGTTCAAAAAGCTCTTTATTGTTCTCATACT